CCCCCCCCCCCCCCCAGCATCTCACAGGTTTTTTAGGGCCAGTTATAGTTTTTAGGCCATTTTTATATATGTTTTTAACTATTTATAGATTATGTCTATGTCTGGAGAGTTCTGTGTTTTTTCTTTTTTATTATTGTGAGCCGCCCAGAGTTGGGGGAGATGGCCGGCATACAAATTTGAAAATAAATAAAAATAAATTTTAAAAAAGCCATTAACAAACAATTTCCAGAAATGATTAGAAAAGGAAGTATGCGAACTTAGTGTCCTTTCAAAGGTGCCGACCATGGTTTGAGCAAGATGGCTATTCCCTTATTTCCTAGAGCTCTAAACCCACCAGAGACTGGTGTCTTGTGGTCTCCTCATGAGGAGCAACTGTCTGGAGCATTTATGGGTGATCTCAAGTCCTCTCCTTGTCTGGAGAGGAATTATTGAAGAGCTGGTCTACTCACCGGCTCTTCATTCTGCTGCAGTTATCAGCTCAGCTTTTTGAGGAGCTGTCTTCAGTCTGGCATTTTTTCCCCTGAGCCCAATTCAATTTCTTACTGTTAAATTGTGTTTGCAAATCATGTAACCAAGCTTTGGTTCATTACAACCAAAATTGTGAGTTAAGTTTGAAATACAGACATCCTTTCATTTTGTATGTAATGACCACCCTAACATAGCAAACTTATAAAACATGAAGGCAATTATAAACATTATACTGCACATATCACTAACATGCTTGATTGAACCAGGTTACCTAGAAGGTATACACTGTTGTGTAAAAGACCCACATATATGTTTGTATCAGGGGCTATCTTATTGGATTTAACCCTAGAGCACTTTCATTCTGCCACTAATTTTCTTTCCCAAATCCTCAGGTGAAGTTTGAAGGTGATCCATGATCATCTTCATTTCTGTTGAGTAGAAATGTTGAGAAAAAGAAGTATAGCTCACTTATTTCTTCCAAGAGCTACAGATCTGCCACAATAAAAATACCCTTACCTTTATTCCATATGAAAGAAAAGAAAAGAAAAGAAAAGAAAAGGCGAGTAGTCTGAGGCTTAGTATGTTAGCTGGTCTCACACTACAGAGAAGGGGAAATGTCAAAACATTTGTCAATTTCACCTATGCTCATTTTAGTATGGATTACTGAGGGAGGAACTGCAAAGCCATCATGCCACTATTCCCCTTACAGGACCAGAAGCTCAGGAATTGGGAGGACAGGTGGGCAGGAGTTTCCTTCAGTGAAAAAATTGAGCCACAAACAAAATAAAACCTAGCTTTGCAACTTTTTCAAATAGATCACATCTGATATGGAAATAAATCAACTCTAACCTTCCTGACATTATGGAAACCCAAAGGTCCAGGGCAGTTTTTCAAATCAGCCCAAAATCCTCCTGTGGAAATGTATTCAACCATGGAAGTTCACTGGTGACTCTAGGCCAATCGCTGTCTCCAAACAAAATCTACCTCAGAGGATTATTGTATATGAGAAGAAAATGCTCTCTATATAATTTTGAAGTCTCTTCTGAGTGTAATGTAAATCTGGGAAATAATTAACTCTAGCATTCATATAACAAATTAGAAGGCTAACAACTTACAGGCTTTAAAAACCCAACAGTTGTGATGTCACACTAACTTACCTTTCATCAATCAAATCAATCTGAAACATTAATGTCCTGAAAAGATATATATTATCTAATTATCAAAGCTAGTGGAACCTATGTGGAAATAGTATCACTTACTTCTGACATTCCTCGGAATTCATTTAGTTTTCTCATAAGCTGAAGGCAGTGTTCATAGTCATTCCCCACATCACCAATATTAATCATGACTTCCTGGTGAACAACACCAATACCATTAGATTTCATTAAAACACATTGAAATCTACAATGTTTATCTAGCTTTTTTTCACTATCCTATGGAATTCAAATTCATTTTTGGAGTGTCAATCTGCCTTTTAAAATGCAATTATCAGTATCATACTAAATAGCACACTGTTGCATTATGAATTGTCTTGATAACAGTACTTGTTGCTTGCTTGAAAAGCTAATGCAAGTTGATTCACTGAATCTATTTTAAAAACTGCTGTATTCAAAGAGGTAAAACAATCCAGAAATCAGTGCAGAAGCTTCAAAGTATAAATACAAAATTTTAGTGAATGGATTCAGTAGTTCTTTTCTGACACTTCAGTGCATTGTGATTTAAAATACCCATAATCCTGAGCATCAGTTCCAATCACACATCTGATTCTTAATATCTTGCAACCAGTGCCAGACAAAATGATTGCAGAATGTGCTTGATGATGAAAGAAATGTCATGGTAATATTAAGGTCTCTCTTGAATTTTAGGGAATATTAAATATTTTCAGAAGGTCCCACCTAGTTCCCAGTTATCTAACACTAAAGTCCAATGAATGCCCACTTGTGTTCACAAAATTATACAACAGTTTTCTTTACACAAAATAAATTTTTCTACGATACATGGATAAAACGAATAACAACTGCTTAACAAAAGATTCTTAATATATTTTTGAATAAGAAATCCCCCCCATACCCTTGATGATCACCAAGTTAATTGTTGGAAGGGGTATATTTTATACTCCTTTAATTATTGCCCACTTTTCTAGAGTGCATTTCTAGTGCATAACAAACTAATTTCCTAGAAGGGAAGCCATGCATACAGAACACAGTAGCAGCCCATGTGTAATACAGGTTTGATTTATATTCATGTATTTGGAGTGGGAAAACACTTCAGGTGTTTTTCAAAATTAAATAAAAGTATATGTTTTCTCTTGACAGTTACCATTTTCCAAATGTTCACAGCTATAAATCTGTTTTCGAAACAGAAACAGTGGTCTCCAAATTCACTAACCTTCTCTCTGATCCAAGCCTCTGCATGGTCGACTTTTTGTAGAAATTCAAGAAAATCCCTGCTATCCTCAAGCATCTTTCCATGAGCAGCGACAGCCTGTTTCAACATTTCCCACTGTTCTTGAAGCAAGTAAACCTTTTGGCGGATCTCTTTCGATTTGGGAAGGTTATGGTGTAGTAGGGCTTCTCCTCTCTTTAAATAGTTAAGAAAGAATAATTAATAAGGAGAGGATTGCAATATTTCCATGCTATTTCTAAGACAACTCAGTTCCAAGAGTTTGCAGGCCAGTGGCAAAGGATAAACACATACTTAAGACCAGTTCTGGGGCATGTGATCCAGATGTGCACCCAGCAGAGGGAGAAGGACTGGCTGATTTGGCATATAATTATTCAGGGTATGAGAGATGACAAGTAGAAAGATTATACCTCTCTAATGTTGTCTACCTGTCAGAGGGCAGCCAATATGATGTGAGCTGGCAAAGTATTTAAAGCTGTATGTTCTGGCCACTTTGGCAGTAGCCTGGGTCTTACTGAGACTATCTAACAGTTGTAATACAGATTGATCTGTCTGCTTATTGAAGCCGAGCTGGAATGTCCTGCATCAAGCGTGGAGCTGTCTGACCTGGCCTACAGGATGCCCTTCAGTTCTAAGGTTCTATACTTCTTCTCCTCCCCTTCCTCAGTTTAGCTAAACTGGTCAAAGGAGTGAGAACTATTTTTCTCAAACACTTACTTAACAGTTCAGCCTTGGAGAGGTCCTTTGCACTTCTGATTTGCTTGTGTTTTAGTTTGGTTAAAATATCCTTTAAATAATGAGTAATTTGAAAGTGTCTTGGCAACTACTTGAGTGCTGAAAGCTTTTTATGCTGACTTGCTTCTCAAGATAATTAGGTTCTGAGTATCTCCTCCTGTACTACTGATGGGAGCTTCCTTGATGGCTTACATCCTTAACTAATCACAGCTACTGAAATTCAAGGAATGAAATCATTTGTGACCTAAGATTTGTGAAGTCAAAGCAGAAGAAATTATACTGAAGAAAAGTGGGTTTGTCCTGGTACAGGAATAAATACCAGTACCAGATACTGGTATTGTTTCATACCAGTAGATACCCACAGCGGGCATAAGTGTTAAGTGTAAAGTCATTTTACAGTAGCTCTTTTAACCTAAAATTATGGTTGCTTGACCCAGAAGCCAAAAATGCCTCTTTGTTCTTTTATTCACGAGCAATGAGGAAGGATAGGAAGCTGGGTTACCCATGAAAATCATCTCATTTGCTCACTACTCACTCTCTCCCCTAAAAATCATTTTTCCTAGATTCACATTATCTTTAAAAAGATGCAACAGTAATAGAGCGGCCTCTAAACATAGCATATAGAATACGACTAGACATCCCCAGCAGCAGTACAGGATATGACCAACATTTCCAGTACATGGAACCAAATACAGTATTTCTTCTTTTTGAGATAATGGCCTAAAGAATCTATATACTGGTGGATAAAGTTATCTTGCACTTTAAGGTATAATTCCATCGTTTTTTAAAAAAAATCACTTGAATGTAGATTTAATTGATCTGGATCAATTTTAACCACAAACGACAATGACTAGGGGTGTTAGAAATATATTTATGTAAGCTTATGAAATAAAAAGTAATTTCAGGTTTATTTAGCATTTCTGATGTTCAGAGTAATTGACATATTGTATAAAGTGACAGGCCCCCACTCTCTTGAATGCCCTTTCCCTGGATATCTGTGCAGCCCCCACCCTGGTTGCATTTTCTTTTTGTTTTATTTATTATTGTTATTCCAACAGCATTATACATTCATAATATTTGAAATTTGTTGCACTTTATTATTATATAATATACAGTCACTCCATTGCCAATAAAAATGTGATTTGGCCCTCTGTGTATTTAAAATTCAAATTCTATCCATGGTTTTGGGGACTATATCTGTGAATGCCATTTTTCAATTATTAAATGGTCTAAAATATTCCATTGCTGACTTATCATAGATTTGGCAGCTAGAAGTAAAAATACAATAAGATCTTTATTAACCAGCTTAGCAAACTGTCCCTCAAATATGTGTAATAACTCCAATCCAAGAATGCGTTCTACTTGTTGTTTAGTTATAGATCTTACTTCCTGGAAGATTTTCTGTCAGAACTTTTTGCAAGCCCATCACATTCCTATGAATGTGCCCTTCTGTTTGCATCCCCTCCAACATTTTATTGCATAGTTGGATATATACACTACTTGTATCAGGTTAAATGCCTTCTGTGTACTACCTTTGACTCTAATGCTTATATGAAGGCTAATAAACCTATCTCTGCCTTCCATAATTCTGCCAGTCCCTATCTTCCATTTGCTTATCCAAATCTGCGGCCCAAACTTTCTGCATTCCAACAGGCAGATCACCTATCTCCCCCTCCAGCGGTAACTTATATATTTTAGAAATCATTTTTTTCAATTGCAAGTAATAAGTATTAATTTCTCAGAATCGATCAAGGAATGATTTGTTATTTCCCTTACTACCTTATCCTTCAAAAAAGATTTAACTTGAATCCATGTTAACCAAAGGATCTGATGGCCTACAGTACTTTAAATTGTGTAACAAATTATAAAAATCTCTTATTCTATAAAAAGCACATTCTCTCCTTGACCTGAACTGAATTGTCCTAGATGAATAATCAAAACCATTATCAAGGGGGATAATGGGGATATACCCATTATCAATTCTGCACATTTCTTCATCCATGCCTGAAACATAGCTTTGGCAAATACATTAAATATTGCTTACTTTTATCAGATCCTTTGGAAAAAGAACAGTTGACTATCCAACTTTTGTATGTCTTCTATTTATCCATTACTTGACCTCAGCCTACAGAAGAACCTCACAGGAACCAAAGAACACAAAGCATATGCTCTCAATACTTGCCATATTAACAGTTGCAATCATATCCTGATGAGCCAGAATCTCAGCCTCAAAGACTTGATGCTTCTGAAGAAGCTTCATTTTGTCACATGGCTTGCTGAAGTTTTGAAAAGAAGGATCCTTCATCTTTTGCATGCGTTCATCAATCCACCTCTCTGCCTGTCACCAAAGAAGCAACATGATCAGCACTGCATGCAAGGCTAAGAGTAGTACGCAAATCTGATGAGATCAGATTTGAATTTACTTTTCAATTCAAGTGACATTCAGTTCAGAGTGTCAACTGAAATTCAAATTTGAGGATTTGCTAAAAATGTGTGTCTGTGTGCAGAACTGTTGAATCTGCAAATCAGTTTGCCGGTTCAGTTCAAAGATGTGATACACTGTAACTGAACTACCTTTGAACTGAAGCTGCAAATCAAAGCTTTGCTCAGCCCATGACTCTCTACATCAAGAGTGATCAGACGTCAATTAATACAACTTAACTTTTTTTGCAAGACTCTGAGATCCATCAAGAAGAGCCAGGTGGAAATTAATGCTTGGAGCATTCTTTCCTTTAAGTTTCTCCTGAAGCACTGAGTCAGGCCAAGAAGTAGTGATAAAAATGATGGCTATTGGCCAGTTTACAAAGAAGTACCTTGGATTTCTTCCAAATGTACAGGAATAAAGTATAATAGTAAATCCCATAGTAATCCCTGTAATATATCCTTTCCCAGCCTTATGCCCTCCAGATGTACTGGATATCACTGATGCAATTCATAGACCATATTCATAGCCAGAGTGGCTACAAATTTTGGGTTAGGGGTTAGTCTAAGCATGTCTAGAGGGCACTAGGTTGGGGAAGGCCGCTGTAACATTTAAATGTTGCATTATATTTCATTTATGTTTAAATGTATTTTATATAAGGATTGCATGGAATGTGACTACCATGTTCCAAAGCACAGAGCCTCAGACTTAAAATAATGTAGCTATTTTGGTTTTTCTTCTTTAAAAGATGTAAGGACATTAAAAAGACCAAAAAGCAGTGGAAAAA